TTATCCTAAAGTTTTAATTTTCCTTTAGTGACTAACTCCAAAAATTACGTCTGAATGCCCACTTCCACTTTTTATTCCAGTGCATTTTAATTGTTCCCTGACTTCACCTGGTCTATGTGATGCATGCATTTATTTTGCTCAAGGGCTTATTGCATTTATTTTTGCAACAATTTCATAAACCAGGCTCAATAGAAAAAAAGAGAGAGTGTAAAATAATTGAGTGAGACTGAATAATGATTCAGAATGTGGAACCTTGGAGCGGTTTAGCAAACTTAACGACACCTAATGCTTTAAGTTTAAGCCATAATTTCAGATCAGTCAGAAGAGGCAAGTCTTCCTTAGCTTGAATATCCTATTCAAGCTTCATCAGAAACAAATCTTTTAAAAGTAACCCTGTGGCTCATTCTGCGCTGAAGTATTGAAGAATGAAGGAATCTTTGATACTGGTTCCTGGGTGCCTCTATGTTAGTGTTGACAAACCTTACACATGTGTGTCTGTGTGTGTGCATGGGCCAGAAACCAGAAGAGTAGCCACCCGGTGCGCATGTATGCACCAGAAACCAGAACAGCAGCCACTCAGTTTGCACATGCCAGAGGTGGGTTTCTACCAGTTCGCACCGGTTCAGGTGAACCGCTAGTGGTAATTTGGCCTTGGTCACAGAACTGGCAGCGACCCAGGCTGGCCACGCCCCCAAACTGGCTCCCCAGTGGCCGCTGCCATTGCTGCCATGTTTTTTAGTAGTTTTCACATTCTTTGCGCATGCGCAGAACAATTTACAGTGACCTGTGTGCAAAGCATGCACGAAGCGAACCGGTACCAACCGGAACCTACCCCTGGCACATGCACACCAGGCGGCCGCTCTTCCGATTTCCAGCGCTCCTAAGCGTGTGAAGACCAGCTGGCCGGTGCACAGGAACCCAGAAGAGCAACGGGTGACAGCTCGCATGCCCGGAGAGATGGCTCTGCGGCTATAGGTTCGCCAACACGGCTCTGTATCTTTGAGGAGATGAGTCGGGACATTAATTACAGTTTTCAAACAGATCATGAATCGCATCTGTTTAAACCAGACAAAACCTTTTAGCCCAGAGTGATAACTCTACACTTAATATCTTGCTGATGCTACTGTTTCTTTGCTTCCTTGCAGGTCCAGAGAACACTCCCGCTACAGGTAAGATGATTTGGCTACATTTCTGCACCGTTCCTACCAGCCTCCCCCAACCTGGTGCCCTCCCCGTTTGTTCCTAGTTAGCTGGAGTAACAGTTTGCAAGCAATACATGTGTAGAACAGACGTCTCTAACCAGGTGGCCCTGAAATACTTAATATTGACTTCCATCATCCCTTACTATCTTATTGCTGGTAAACAGTTGAAATAAATGCCAAGATAGTCCATTGCAAGTATCTTTGGTTTACGACCAAATAGATCCTGGAATTGCGGCTGCTAAGTGAGATACCCATCTAATCACTTTGCTCAATGATGACAATCCTGGCTCTCCCGTTAAAGTGATTAAGTGGACAGAGCAAAAGAACTCCCCTCTGTATGGAAAAGAAATCCAGTGGCTTGGTTGAGGAAAAATAAAATAAAAAGAACCCCTCCAGTCTGCCGCAGGAACCCCCCGTCCCCCAGTGCATGAAGGTGGCAGCAATTCCGGTATTCTTTGCTGGCTTTTCCATTGATCTTTTTGGGAAAGATGGCACAGAAGATTCCAAATGGGGATAACGTGATCGTGGGGTGTTGGCAACAAGTTATAAGTGTGAATTAGTAGCTTCAAGAACGAGTCGTAAGAAGCTTTTTAAAAAGTTCATCATAACTCTCAACAGTTCTAAGTCAACACAGTAGTACTTTCACTATGCTGCTTGCCATGGCTAAGAGAAACAACAAAAAATGATTAACAATTGTTCACAGTTAACAGAAAATTAAAGAAATGAAAGAGTTCTGGAAGTCAACAAGTCATTTTGCCCAGACACCCTCACTAGCTGAGGAGTATATGATTTGGCTCATACAAGGAAGAGTAAGTTAGTAAAAAAGCAGACAGAAGTTATACAGTGTAAGGCTGGACACAAGACAAGCTTGCATTGGTAACTCTGCTTTCTTTGGGAAACCAGACTGGCAATAATCCTTATCAGCTCTCTGGTAACAAATTTCAGGTTTTTTTTGCTGCAGTGTAACTGCTGAATCTGTAATGTGATCACAGGTACCACATTATAGGATAGGGGGAAATGTGTCATTTCCCAGTGAAAAGTGAATTTTCCATAGCCTGAATGCGAGATAAAGAGAATACATATAAAGCATGTTTCTATTTGCTGCACATAGAATGTGATGGTCTGGTTCCCAAAATTCTCAGTTAACATGACCTCCCCCCCCCCCCACCAAAA